CTGTGTCTCTGTGTCTCTGTCTCTCTGTCTCTGTCTCTCTGTCTCTGTCTCTCTGTCTCTCTGTCTCTCTGTCTCTCTGTCTCTCTGTCTCTCTGTCTCTCTGTCTCTCTGTCTGTCTCTGTATCGGCCTCTCTGCCTCTCTGCCTCTCTGTCTCTCTGTCTCTCTGTCTCTCTGCCCGACAGTCTCTGTCTCTGTCTCTGTCTCTGTCTCTGTCTCTGTCTCTGTGTCTGTGTCTGTCTCTGTCTGACTCTGTCTGTCTCTGCCTGTCTCTGTCAGCCCGTCTGTACGGCCATCATTTTCTCTCTCTCCCCCTGCTCCTTCCTCTCTCTCCCCCCGCCCGCCCACCTTTGGGTGCTCTCTGTTTTTGTCCCCTCTCCCCGCCCTTCCACTCCCTCCCGTGCACGCACATGCCGGACAGCCCTCTACCCGTCTTCCCCTGTTCGTTCGTCCACCAGTAAAGCTTGCAATGCATTGTTTATGCTCTTTTGCGTTCTTCTTAGCAACGAAATGGGGCGTTTCTTGAGGGCTGTTTATTTGCTATGGTGATTGATTGAGCAAGATAACTTTTGGTGTGCTGATATTGTGACGCCTTTGTCTGTGATCCCACCTGGAGGCAAGTGGATGGTGAAACCAGGGTTGGAGTTTTTGCATCAGTCGACATACCTGTGGGGACTCCATTGACATATGATTACAAGTAAGGGCACTTCTCTTTTGTCTTCCTTTTCTGTTGCTGTTGCCCTGAGCATCTGAGGCAAATCCACAATAACAGATTTTTAACCTCAATGAGTCTATGTCCAAGTTCTTCTTTGCAAAGATCAGGGCAGATACAAGAGACAAAAAGAGAGAAGAAAAGGAAATGACATGAACAAAGCCTTACACGACCCGCCAGATCCAACGTAGTCAGGAAAGTAGGGTGAAAGATGCTACGGTAAGATATTCCCCAAGTTTTGCACCGGTTTTCAATGTTGACGAGAATTCCCTTTCAGGTTTGGGGTTTATTAGGTGGAAGCGGGATGGGTTTCTTCTATTCTTCTTCTTCTTCTTCTTTATCTTTGTCTGTGTTTCCTTATTTCGGACCACTTCTTGATCTATGCGTGTCATCCTTGCGAAGGGATCTTGCTAATCTTGTCTGTATCATTCCAGTTTTAACGGATGTTCCAGAGGACAGGAGATGAATTTCCTCTACCTTTTATGTTTCCTTCATATCTCTTCTCTCCCTAACTCCCATCCTCTTCTCCCTCTCTCCCTGTGTCTACCCTTGTGTCTTTTGTCGCTCTGTCGTATCTGGCACTCATTTCTGCCAGTTGACGACACTCAAAGTCACACTCGTGTTCCACCTGTGTGTGTGTGTGTGTGTGTGTGTGTGTGTGTGTGCGTGTGTGTGTGTGTGTGTGTGTCTCTCTCCCCCCCCCTTTCTCTCACTCCCAACCCCTCCCTCCTCCTTTCAGGAAAGTAGGCTTGGAGATGGTACAGTAAGACATTCCCCACTTTTTCGCACCGCTTTTCAATATCCCTACACTATTAAAATCGCTAACGAGACAAATCTGAAATCTGGGCCGTCGTCGGTCCTACCGGCCCACGGCCCAGATTGACCGAACCGTGTAACAAATCTGCCATCTGGGCCGTCGGGTCCTACCAGACCGACGGCCTGGATAGATGCGGTCTTAAGATCTTAGGACCGTGCCGAGATCCAGGACGTCGGTCCGGACCGACGGCTCAGATAAACGCGCCGTTGAGTGCCGGGGTACTACCGGAGTCGAGTGTCGTGGGCTCGGATAGACGTGCCGCGGAGTGCCGTGGGGTACTACCTTCGCCTTTTTCTGTTGCAACCGCATCGCGCCGTATTTTGTTGAGCTTTGCGCCTACGGGTCTATGTTGTTTGCCATAGTGCGTGCTGGGTATTGCCTCATGCCATGTTGCGTATGCCTTGCTTGCTGTTGTGGACCTCGCTGCGCGGCGCCCAACTCTCTCTCTCGCTCTGTGCTTCTCTTTTTCACTCTGGGCAGACTGTCAGGGTTCAACCTCCTGATGAGTCGGTGAAAGTCCAACGAAACAGTCTGGCACAGTCATGCTATTTTTTGAGTGTATAGCTCGGTGGCGTGGTGAGTCCTTATCCATCAGTCAAATGCATCCTGGGCAGACTGTCGGGGATGAAACCTCCACACACACTATCCCTGTCTCCCTCTCACCTAAGGTTGGCCAGCTGCTGTGGTGTGCCGTGAGCTGTGGTGTACGGTGGGGGAGTTGTCATCGACTGAATGCTGCTGAAAGATGGAAGCCTCAGGTCAGTGGCATGGCTCCCTCCCCAAAGCACTTCCCCCCCTCCCCCCCCTCCAATCTTCGTTCACCCTCCGCTGCTCCTACGCCACCCGACTCCTCCAACCACCCTTTTCCCCCTCCCCTCACCATTCCCCCTCTGCTCCTCCACAACCCTATTCCGCCACAGCGCCTCCCCTTCTCCCCTCCGCTCTTCCTCGGCCGCCCTGACGGGCTGCCACCTCGACTCTCTTCTCCACCCATGCAGCCTCCGTGCTGTTTTTGGCTGTGTGTGTGTGTGTGTGTGTGTGTGTGTGTGTGTGTGTGTGTGTGTGTGTGTGTGTGTGTGTGTGTGTGTGTGTGTGTGTGTGTGTGTG